CTCTCTTGAGAGAGATGCAGTTGCACTGCAAAAGAGCGCTAAAGGATTTCAGCTAGAGGAGGGAAAAAGAGAAGGAGATGACAATCTCGCGAGAGTTTGAACAACGCATTCGATCGCTCCAAACTCTGCTCGAAACACTCTCGTGTCCCAGATAATTCAAGAAGGAACATACAGAAGAGTTCCGGCGAATAAATCGACATAGCTTTAGAGTTTCATAATACGAATTTTACAGACGACAAATTTTTGAAATAGATAATTGGCAAAGTAATTAAAAAAAGATTTTGTCTATAAAAAAACAAGCACTACAATGCAACAGATTTAAAAAGATTTTGGATCTGCCTGTTATACATTCATCGATAGAACGAGTAATTAATATTTGAAACTTCGTGTCATACTTATTGCTCGGATGGAAAAACGACTCTACGGAATAAAAATAAATAATAAAAGATATCTCGAGATTAGATACGACGTATTTAAAAATTCGCGTACACGCTTTACAATTCATAATAGTGTTCTTTGTTATTGCTATACGCGTATCAAATTACCTATTACGTCATTAGGATTTCATGCGCGAGCAAAAATCGATCTGATTAGATTCTGCGCAGCGCTAAATTTAGATTCGGTTTTATCGGTCTGTAACTTGCACCCACCCTTCCCAGTTATTATGAACAAATCTCCGCGCGTAGAATTACCTATGCATTCGGCCACAACTGCATCCCGCAACAAATCGCAGATGTCACGCATGGCAAACAGATCGGCATAATTTACGAGCCCGAATGTGAACGCCGCATCTCATTCCGATCGCACCTGTTCGATCAGAATGGCCGACTAATATACGGCCTCGTCCGACCTGATTCGACGTAAGGACAATAGAACGATCGTATCATAATGGCGAGGTGTTTGCGATGGAAATCCGTCTCGCATGAATCATAAACACGACAAATTAATTATCCGCTTGTCTGTCTCATTTCGAAATGCGAATATTGTACCGTCGTTGTTGTGCCTTCTCGTGCTTCCCGATTTTAATTTATACGTATGCGCTTCATTTAAATATACACATATCGAAAAACATTATCTAAAATAACAGTGTCGATACTTTGAAATTAAAAATTTACATGCAGAATTGTTTTATTAAAGAATTACAACAAATATATCATTTTTTTAATGTTTGAAATGCTGTGTGCGTATCCGCTCGACAAAAACTGTCGCTGCGGCGATTTATCTGCTTTGAATATTTAATCTTTCCACACAAAACCATTAGAGAAAATTCATATTAAAGAATTCCTATGTGCGTCAAGCGAACGAAGAAAATTTTGAACGCTTTCTCAACTAAACGTCTTTTTTTCAATCACCTATACTCCGTAAAATCTATTCGCGATGTCTGTTTGTCGAACGTGCAGCGTAGCAAAAAATGTTTTGCCGCATTCGGAATTTGCATATTCGACAACAACAGAAACAATAGCCTCAGAGCTATGTTGCGACGTCGTCGGTTCGGAGAATCGCCAGAGATCGAGATAAACGCTATTCCCTCTCGGACTCACCTGTAACATGCCGGAGGAATGATAATAACCGGAAGCGCATCGAGACGAGTCCATTACCGAGCTGTCGCGGAATATCTCGTTTTCGTTCGACGATGTCGTACCCGGCGTTGGAAATTAGCTGCAATTAGCGCCGTGCATGACACCAATGCACACGGGATGGCTCCGTAAATACCACTTGACGGGAGAATCTGTTAGTTTCCTCGTGTTGCGGCAAAACTCGGGAAAGCGGATATAAACGTTAAATTTATCTTGTGTGACATAAATTCCTGTTTTATCTGCAGTATCAAAAACTATCATTCAAATTCTTTCTTTATCCAAGAAATTATTTACGTATGTGAAGAATTGTATAAACCAAGCGACAACACTTCGGTGATTCGGATTCGAAATGAAAGCAACAAGTAGCACATGATGTCTTTTATTATCTTCTATATTTATAAATAGACTTTTCTGTCTGATGAGTGTCTGTTGTAATTGTTGCTAAAAGTATAGTAATTAATTAATTAAATATAATTACAGATCCTCCACTCGAACACGTGTTCATATATGCAGTGCAATCTGTGATAATTCTATTAATGCATACATGTCGCGCAGCTCTAACGAGTTATAATCAGTCAAGTACTGAGTGTAATTTAATGGTTTGTTCCCCTTACCTCTTCCATGGACATCCTTCTAGTTTCTCTTTCTCACCTTGTCTTCTATCCATGCGTTTTCTCTTTTCTCTAACGTGTGTCTCTTTTTGTCTGTCTACATTCTGTCTGCATGTGTCTCTCTCTTTCTCTTCTTCCCCCATTTTCCTTTTCTCTCTCTTCCTCTTTCTCTCTCTCAAATTCTATCTCCAGGTTTCCACAATAATACGAGCTTCATCGGCGAGCTAGTACGACGAACGCGCAATTTGCGGCCGAGCTCCGGCTTTCTCAAATAATTGATGCAATTTCCGGGTTGCGAGCGAGCTGCGAATGACCCCGAGAATTTGGATTCTAGGTGGATTCACGAGATGTTCACGTCACAAGGTGAACATTAATTTCCGTACGCTCTCGGTATTATATAAATCGCGAATTTTTAAAATATAAATTCATATTTTCGCACAATTGTTGAATAGCCACGCCTAACTTTGCGAAAATTTTTTCCACATTTGTTTTACGAAGTTCCGCCGTACATCCACGAGAAATACACATCTAATACTCAATAAAGTTTTATAATAATAAATACGATAAATAAAATTTAAACATTTACTTAACATTATTTATATTTTTTGCGTATAAAAGTGTATAAAAACCTTGTAAGCAACAAATATAATGAGCTTACTTTTCAGACTAAATTCTTTGCGTGTCTGACAAATATTAATTCCGTCATAGTGACTCGAACACGCGTAACGATCATTCATGAGATTATGCTAAAAACCACGACGCGGACGATAGCATAACGTTGATAGCGTGCACGATATCCGATGTGCTCTGTTGTCGCAACTACACATAAAACGATACACCTAAACTACTGTTGACTTCAAACTAATTCTATTAGTTGCTTACGTTGAGCGCTTAACCCGCATTCTCTCTCTCTCTTCTCTCTCTCTCTCCCTCTCTCCCTCTCTTCTCGTATTCTTATGGAATTAATTTCGCGGTTTTGTTCGCTGCAAGTTTCTCCCCGTCGGCGTCGTCTGATCCTTTTCCCGGGCATGATCGACGACAACAACGACTCTCTTCCTAACCGCGGCGGCGGCGGCGACGGCAGCGTCATTAACTTTTTCGACGAGCCAGATATTTCCTACTCCGCTAATGACGTATCTCTTTAATCGCATTTACCGTAACTTTATACGCGCTGACTTTTGGTTATATTAACTACTTTGTTTTAACTTGAGAACACTCGTGTTGTACTATTTCATTATTTTTATAATAATAAAACGTGTTTTCATACGTATCATAATAATTTAAAGCGTTTCTATATATATATATATATATATATATCATAGTAAGGAAAAGCATATCTGTTAATTGCATAATATAAATTTTATATAAAAACACATTTTATAAAAAGACTATTTTATATATTATAAACTAGTAATAAATATTGTGATAAATAAAGTAAACAAATATATTAAGTTAAAAGATCTTTTAAACATAAGTTTTTTTGAAAATGGCTCAATTTTTACAAAATAAAGTATAAAAAAAGTAAAGAATAAATTGTTAATTTTAAAAATTTTACTTTTCTTTACGAGTATACAATCGGCAAGTAAATCGCGTTCTTTCAAGAGTTTAGAAGCACTGGAAGAAAATACCGAGAATAGAGATATTGCTTTTTATCCTGTCTACAAGATCTTATACGTTCTCGCACAAAAGAAAACAAGAAAACTGGTGATATGGGCTGGTGATACAGGCAGACTAAAGATATTACTGCCATCTTCTGTCAGGCCAAGTTTATCGAATAAATAATATAAATGTTATATTGAATATTTCACTTGTTACAACATGTTGATTGTTTAAAATAATTGTGTTAAAAGCACTCAAAATAATATTCCATTTCTAAATGACATACACAAAGTGTTAAATTATGAAGTTGACATAAATGTAACACCTGAAAATTTACAGAAATAATAGCGTATCAGTTATGTGATAATTTTACATTGAAGTAATAAAACACAAGAAAATTGTAACATATATGAGCACACGATGTTTTACTGTGTATATATATATATATAAATCATGCGGATTTTGAACACACGATTTTTATGTGTTCACACAATAAAAATTTTCTCGTGTTACTACATTTTTATTATTATTTCTATGTAAAATTAACGCACGAGTTTTTCTCTTGTATACACAGTAAAAACAATTTTTGCAAAAACTGAATTTTTGCATGAAACTGTGTATATATATATATATGTATATACACAATAAAAAAATCGTATTGACAAAACTAGAGTTTAGCAAAATTTTAATTTCAAAAAGCGCGCGTTATTTTACGAATGTTTCATTTTTTTAATTAAAATTATATCGGACAATATTTTTTTATTTGTTATTGATTTTATTACAAAAGAATCGGAATATTCAGAGCATGAAAACAGCTGATTAATTCGCATTATAAATATTTGATCGCGCAGCGCAGAACGCTGGCTGAATGAACTTTAAAAGGCTTCGGCGGATGCAAATTAATGCGCGCCATAAAAAAAAAGCCGGCAAGCGTACCGGCAGACGGCTTTTGCGATACGCGATCCATAATTAAGTTGTAGATTAGTTTTAGTAGATTAAACGAGAAAATAAACTGTGAACTAAACTCCCGCGAGAGTTATACGCCGTATCTTTCTCTGTAGCGTCACGATGTAGTAAATCAAATGATAAAATTAAAGTCAAAAATGACATTTATAAATGTCTTGCTGTCAAACGACGTTTCTGTAAAAAAAAAAAAACCGCCACGTGTTTGAAAGCTATTTAGTTATAAGAAGAACTTTTTTGGGAACTTCAGGTCACCAGTGGCTGAAGACGAATCTCGACGTGATCCCCGAGTCGGGCTGGTCCGTCGATCCGTTCGGCCACGGCGGCACCATACCGTATTTCCTCAAGGCGTCGGGCGCGTCCGGCACAGTGATCCAGCGAATACACTATGCCTGGAAACAATGGTTCGCCAAGAAACAGTACGGTGACTTTGTCTGGCGGCAGCCATGGGATCGCGCGGGCACCGCCGACATGCTCACCCACAATCAGCCGTTCGACATTTACAACATCAAACATTCGTGCGGTCCGCATCCGCATGTATGCCTGAACTTCGATTTTCGCAAGATACGCGGCGAATACACCGAGTACTCGGTGCGCGCCGTCGAGATCACACCCAACAACGTCAAGCAGATGGCCGAGCTGCTGCTGGAGCAATACGCGAGAACCGGCTCCTTGTTCACTCACAACGTCGTATTGATGCCTCTTGGCGACGATTTCAGGTTTGCATAATTTTATCTCATAAAAAGAAAGGACTTTATATCTTCAATCCTATTTGCGTTTACATTTTTCCGTTTGTTGCACAAGTTTGTTGCGTTGAAAGTTCAATTATGTATATTTTCGGATGCATTATATGGCTTCAGTTTTTATATTACACACACATTACACTTTTTCATATTATAAAGATAATTACTTTTGTGTAATAAAAATAACAAATGATACTTTTTTATTGTATATTGCATTTATACAACATCGGTATATGCATTTAACGGAACGAAATTGCGTTCCCCCTTCCTATTGTTTTATTTCAGATACGATCACGCGATCGAGTGGGACCAACAGTACACCAACTACAAGATCCTGATGGACTACATAAATAGTCGCAGGGACGAGTACAACGCCGAGGTGGTGTTCGGCACGCCGAAGGATTATTTCCGTGAGATACAAAAACGAGTGGACAAGTTCCCGTCGCTAACGGGTGATTTCTTTGTGTACTCGGACATCTTCAGCGAAGGCAGACCGGCTTACTGGAGCGGCTATTTCACCACCAGGCCGTACATGAAAATTTTGGACCGCGAGCTCGAGGCGAATCTCAGATCCGCTGAAATTCTCTACACGATCGCGCTGAATCTTGCCAAGCAATCTGGCAAAGATATCAAAATTTACGAGACGTACTTCGAGAAGCTCGTGAAGGCTCGTCGTAATCTCGGTCTGTTTCAGCATCATGACGCGATCACTGGCACATCCAAATCCTTCGTCATGAAGGATTATGCGCTGAAGCTGTTTGAGTCGATCTCCGATACCACAGGTTTACAAAGCTTTGCCATTCAATCGCTGGCAGCTGTCACTAACAACGGCAAATCGAATTCCGTTTATGTGTTAGCCGAGTCGGACAGAGACAGTTACGAGAAATTACCGAAAAAGATACCGATCAGCGCGAACGGCCGCGAAACCAAGAAGATCGTTCTCTTCAATCCGCTTGCGCAAGCCAGACAGGAGGTGATCACTCTCAAGATCACTTCGCACAAGATCAAAGTCTTAGATCCTCAGAGAAATCCCATAGCTTATCAAATTGCGCCGGTGATGAACGCCACGAGTATCACGCACGATGTGTACGTGCTGCTCTTTGTGGCAGAGCTAAAACCTCTATCGATCGCCACGTATCATCTACAGCAAGTCGATAAGGTACCCGTCGAGGCTATCTCAACAGTATACTGCAGCCGTTGCGGCAAGGATAACGTTTTTCCTATCAAGCCCATGCAAGTGGGCGACGTGCAGCTAGAGAATCAGCGAATGAAGCTGCTGTTCGACGGACAGACGGGCTTCTTGAAACGCGTGACGAAGAAATCCACCGGCAAGATCATGCAGTGCGCGATACAGTTTGCCGCGTACCCCTCGGCTCAATTTCACAGCGGTGCCTATCTCTTCATGCCGGATCCGAATCTCCGGGACACCGACAAGGATGTCTTGGAAGCATACACGCCGCATCAGAAGATCTACATCGTGAGCGGCAGCCTAAGCTCCCGGCTCACCGTCGAGTACGGCAAACTGTTGACGCATCACGTGGCCATCTACCATCACGAGGGTGGTCTCAGCGAGGCCATCTATTTGCGCAATATTGTGGACTTCGAGACACCGCCCAAGAACCGCGAGACGGAGATGTTTATGCGTCTACAGACCGACATCTCCAATGGCGACACGCCCGAATTCTACACCGATTTGAATGGACATCAAATAATCAAGCGTACGAAGATCGAGCGTATCGGAATCGAAGGCAACTACTTCCCCATCACGACCATGGCCTATATTGAGGACACGAGTCACAGGCTGACCTTACTGGTGAACCATGGCCAGGGCGCGGCCAGCTACCAGCCAGGTTGGTTGGAGGTAATGTTGGACCGCAGGACTCTATACGACGACTCGCGCGGTATGGGCGAGGGTTTACTTGACAACCGACGAACAGTAATCAAGCACTGGTTGCTGCTGGAGGACATTAACGGCGAGAAGGATAAATACTCGAGACCGTCGCTGTTTGCCAATCATTTGAGCAACGCTCTCAACTATCCGGTAAACATCTTCGTGGTGGATGGCAGTGAACAAGAAGTCACAATGACGCCGGAAGTGCGATTATTGAGTCAGAGCTTTCCGTGCGACCTCCATCTGCTCAATCTGCGCACCAATCATGATCAAAAGCTGCCGCACTTTCCAGTGAATAGCGCACTTATGGTGCTACACCGACAAGGCTACAGCTGTTCCGTAGGCATCGACGTGAAGCAAAAACACTGTCCACTTATCGAGAGAATTGCACAAGGTACCGCGTTCTATAAGCTTGATAACGTCAACATCACGAAGACGTCGCTGACCGGCACGAGACCGGGCGGTCGTCTCAAGAACGGTCTTCAGGATATTGGTCTGCAACCGATGCAAGTCGAGACGTACAACGTGAACTTCGTGCAATGATCCTAAGCCAAGTTAATTGTAGATTCTCTCGCGTTTGTGTTGATCGGACGATGAAATTCCATAAGTGCGCGATTACGCCTTCTGAATAGCACTGCCGATATAATCGTACTAAATACTACCTCTTTGACTCTTCGTATAACGCGTGACTTTATCCGCGCAACAAAGGATAAAAGCAAAAGCGTAGATAAATAATTTGCAGGAATTAATAAAATATCGTGCAATGGAATGCGACAGAAAAAAAACTAAATATTTTCCACATCGAGGATAATTTATAGGCAAATCTCGATCCAAATATTTCGCGTCGATTGTATTGTCTTTTATTGGGAAAATTTTATGGAATGAAAGGTAGAATGAATGTGTATTTGTAAATGTTTGAACTAATATACATATATATATATATGACATAATTAATCATTAAGTATAAATGATAAACGTATAACACGTGTGTGCGTGCATTATAATTGTACATATTGCTCCCCTAAGTGTATAATATACATTTTATTATTAAATAAAACTGGGAGGAGAGGAAAAGGGAAGGGAAGAGGAAGATATAAAAATATATATATATAACATATACATAGACACATTAATAATTTACTCCACATACTCTTGGAGTGTGAGAAAACTAATTAATATAGATGTGTATATTCACTTGAAAGAATTGTGAATACATTTCACAAGTGTAAGTTTTTTTTTTTCACGGAAGAAAGAAAGAAAATCCGCACGCATGGTGATAAAGATACGAAAAAGGGGCCAGAGAAAGGTTTAGGCCTATATATAATATATTATATATATATATATACATATACACACAAAAAAGATTAAAATTTTATTATAGTAGTATAAACGAACAGAGACTGAGATCCAGTTGCGATTTTCTTTTATATATATCTGTACACAAATATATGTAGATACAATGTACATTATATAATATAATATATATTATATGTATGCAATGTAATATATATTATATGCATATGTGTATATTCTTCTATATATATATATATATATTATATATTGTACATAATATATACGTATATAAAAACATGCATACGTTGTGTATATATATATTATATTGTACATATCAAATTATAATGTGCTCTAATTATTGCAGGATAGTAGATAATCTTTGTGATAGCAAAATGATGTAAAGAAAATCTCTTATGCGTCTATTTTCGTATGTCGAATATTTTGCTATCGACCCTCCTTCTCCTCTTTTCTCCTCTTGCGAATGTTGGCAATTAGTGTCTTCTTACAGACGGAGTGAGACAGGGATAATTCAAAAGTGTTCTCCGTGTATATCGTACGTGTGAGTTGAAGATAATAATGGTTGACTGCGCGTAATGAACATTGCGTATCAGATGACGAAGTTAACTACGAGGATAATCTAAAAGAAAAAATTCTTAAAAAGGTGTGCAAAGAGATAATTTTTATTAAATTGTATATATATACATATAAATGCATATAAGAGTATTTAGACGATCATCTCTCATATTATTTATAATTGACGCGAAATTGTTGATCACTGATAAATTGCCGGAATTGCGAAATTTATTTTTTTTTTTTTTTTTTTTATCCTCTAAAGTACTTGTACTACGTACTTGTACGAGAAAGCCTCAGATTATTAGCAAAGTACCATATTTCCGAAGTGTTCCGTGTATAACGTTTTACGATTATGAGAGACAACGGCAGATACATGTCGAATCTTGTGCACGAGGAATATTGCGAGGATATACGTATGTTCATAATATCGTAGCGCGATGTTTCCAGTGATCTTCCGCTTCCATTGAGAATCTCGAAATGTCCCTTTTTGTGGGACATGTACGTTTCTCTGTATGTACATATTAGATTAATTAATAAAAACGTTGTGCAGCTTACGTGCGACTAAATCGTCACGTTCCTTTTTTTTTATTACAGTAAAAAAGAGGAACAAGATGGAAAAAATTAGTTTTCTTGAGAAATAAGTATTATAAAATGTGTGATTGCTACTTTTGTGTAAAAACGAAAATTAAATTCTTACGTGCGGACGATGTAATTATTATGTCAACGGTTTAAGTGGCATAAAAGATTGATATATTACGCAAAATTTTTTCTGTGCAAAATTTTCTTTCAGAATACGCATATAGGATAAGTTCAGCAAATATAGACGGCGACATTTATTTTTGCAAACGAAAAATCTTATATTTTTTCATTATATATTTAGTTAAATATTTAATATAGATTTATCGCTCTACTAAGTATTTGTCTAATCTTTTTTGCCTATATTTGCTCAACGTTTTACTTATCCTATATATGTACGTCGAACATTTATAATACATATGATATATATTGTATATATTCCTGTGATTTTACATTTTAATGATATTGACAAAAAATTAACACGGAAAATGTATAAGATTATCGCAGTTTTATTTTTAACGGTGTTTCAATTATTTTGTAAATAACAACAAGTGTAACTTGAGAGATGTAACAGGTTTCGTTGCTCTTTGGCGCTATATAAATGTTGATACACATCAATTTATTGATACACAGTTAAACATATATTTATTGAAAATTCATTGAAGGGATAATTGTTTTCTCAATCATTATCAAATTTTGTTGTTTTGTATAAAGAATTTTAATCTCATTAAATCCTCTATTTCATGAAGGATATCGACAATTCTTAATGCTCATCTCGATGTAATATACGTCACAATTTCGTGAGTTGCAAAATTGAAAAATTACAAGCGACAGAGATATCTGTCGCTCTCGTCATACATAATTATCGAGTAATTTAAGCACTTTATTGGTCGTTAAAATTTTTTCAATCAAACTTATGTGCAACGATAAAAAAAGTTCCGCGAATAAGCATTTTACATAAGCTTGACGATGTCGTGCACATAGAGGATCGTCGAGATGAAATCGTCAAAACTGATAGATTGTAAAGAATAATAAATAAAAAAAAAATAACAGACAAAACGAATGATGTAAGCAAGTAAAGTGTAATCGGTTGTCTCTTTCGTAACAAAATAAGCTGTTATTGCCTTTAATTGTTGTCGCGTTTAACCTTCGAGTTGAAGAAGTAGAATTGTCAAAATATAAGTTTCCATATATATGTTTATTAGATTGCATAACCAGTTTTGTTTGCGCAATCGAATGCGTAATCTAAATTTATCGTTTTGTGAATTCTGTTTTTTTGAGTCGAGCCTCGAGCACATTTAATTAGATGTCTTATTGAGTATACAATCTTATCGTATGTGTTATGACACACGTTATCGTAAAATATACTTACACACCATTCTGCTGTTCGATACATTCAGCGGTATCGCTCGCTTGAGTGAATCAAAAGAAAGAGTTTTGAGAAATAAGAAGCGATAACTCGCCGTGAGTGTTTTCAAGAATATATATATATATATATATACATATGAATCCCAAGTTACACGAATAATATTTTTCACGGATCATGAAAGTATGTTCGAGCAAGTGGTGTATGTACCTATAGAATGCTTGCGTATCGACATTGTTGCGAACGTCGATACGAAATGCCCGAAACTGAGTTGAGCGACGAGCTGTCGCCGCTCGAAAAATCACAATGACTGTCTCTGTAACGATATATTGTAATATATTATATGTTTTTGCTGTCGTTAGAGAAAGAAAAAAGTTCTATATCAAAGAATTTAAAGTTATACATATTCTATGTTTGTGCGCCATCGCTCGTGCGATTCGTGCAGAGAGATTACGTTCGGAATCGCTCGGGCGCCGTTTGCGTGTGAACACGACGATGATTACGATACAATACGATATTCCTTATGTTACGATGTAATATTATATTTATTGAATAAAACTAGTAACTTTGACGTACAATTTTGATCAATCGTGTTGTGTTTCTCACAATCTGAAATACGCACACACACACAGATTTTTTACATATCTTTGGGATTAGAAATAGACAGAAATAATTAGAAGAAGTTGATTAAACACTTTACCCTTCACAAAATTCTTATCTTTTTCAGATGTGACAGCACAAAAAATGAGTTTCAATCCGGAAAACTTTGTATATATTACAAACATTTATTTTCTATCTAAATGTTTATTTTTGTTTCATTTTTGTTCTTTGTTGCATGTGTGTAGTATTTCAGAAATTTTTAACAAAAATATTTATACTAAACAGAATACGAGATATAATCAAATCGAAATCGAAGGGGAGAACATTCAAACTTCCTCTCTCTAAACGTTAATGGATATAATTAGTTATCTATGTCACTAATGACAACAGCGCGCGCGCCGTATTCCTCCTGATTATATAAGTATCTACTTATACCAATATCGCTTACTGACCGTGTAATTGAATCTGTAATATAAGATAAGGACTGCAAACGTAGAATCAGGAAAATTGCGAAGAAGGCCTTTATTGCGAACTAATTTACATATTCCACCCTCGACGGTACTTAAGTCCGTTCTCAAGTCTAACGTCTTTTGTATATATATATATATTGCCACCGTGAAAAAATCTTGAATCTTCTTATCAAAATTGTATTATCGTCAAACATTGTGCGATACAAAAGATTTATACGTAATTTACAAATTTGCTCAAGTCGCAATGTACACGGTATAATATTTAGGATTGTTTTTACAAGTTTTACGTGTGTAGATATATGTCAAATAACAACTTAGTCCCAAAACTCAGCTTAGAATTTTGGGACTGTCGCTTCACGCATAATTTGCATTATTTGTACTTGATTCAGATTACATTTCAATTCCGAAAAAAGATTTAAATGATTTTACGGAGAAAACGAAGTGAACGATAACTGAAGAGTATATATATATATATATATGTATTTGTACAGATCAGGATTTCGAGTAAAATCGCGAGTAAAATTAAAAGCTGTGCTAATTTACAAAACACACGTTTGTCTTTTCACATGATCGGTTCGACGTACATAGGCGGCCGGTGTAGGCGGAAAAATGGGATTTCCGGCCGTGTTCCGACAACTGAAATGAACTCCGTGCCTTCGTTATACAAGTTTTAATTACAATCGATCCAATTTCCTTTTTCAGTGACGACGACGGAGTTTCCATTCGCCCGCCCGCCGGGACACTTCGTCAGCTTGTTCGTGAACCTGACACTCGTAATGGTGCTCCGTTTACTACCTCCATAAGATCGCGGCCTTTTCACTGTTCCTCTTCCCCTTCCTCCTTGCTCTCTCCTCCAATTGGAAGCACGCGATTAAAAAGTCTGTTTCCTTTTTCCTTCTCTCTTAGAAATATTCGTCTCTGCCGCGAGATACATATAAGTCTTGATAATTTCTTGTTTTTTTTTTTTTTGTATATTAATCTAAAAGACTTTACTCATTCTCGCAATTTCACAAGTAACTGTAGAAACCTGCTAACTTTTACGTCAAATTGTGTTGTTTTTTAAAGATCCACAGAAGAATCAGAGAACATTATATTATTATGTTAAAATATAATAATTGTTATTTTCATAATTGTAAAATTTTTCTTGGAAAAATTATAGTTTTCGAATTAATGTTTCCAGACGAAGACAGTGCTTTTAAGCACTTTCTTTTGAAAAAGTTTTATTTCGTCAAAAGTTAGAGAGAGAGAGAGAGAGACAGAGATTCTCTGAAACTTAATGAATAATTTGCATTTTCTTCTCACAAAATTACACGCTTACCGCAGCTGGTATTGCATTCTATCGCGTGAATCGGAAAAGATCGCAGAATTTATTCAAAGATATTCAAAAGAAAACGCCAGCGATTTTCCTTGCCGAGATTGACGGTGGCAAGAAGAGCTCGACGAAACGCGAGCGTCCGTCGCTTCTATATATATATGTACGTATATATATAATTGTTGGGGGTGATGAATATTTATATAAATCTTAAAATCTGCCGTTACACAAATCAAGCGC